CCAAAAGCTATATAGGAAGAAAAAGTCCTTTAGTCTTCCCTTGCCTGTCTTATTTCTGTCTTCTCACGTTGGCCTGGGTGTGTGAGTGACACCTCTCTTGTTTTGCAATGCGCTGAGGTTACAGCTTTTGAAATTCTGCATTCTGTGTAAAACATTTTGAGGGGAGGGTCACAGCGGGTTGAATCCCACAGAAATAACAGAAGGGGCTGGTGGAGAAGATCTTTCTCCACTTCCTTTCGCTGCCTGCTGCTTGTTCTCCAAATCCCCTTCCTGAATTAATCAGTTTCAGTCTTGGTACAGAAATTCCTATGATTTCAGACTTATGTGTCCGAGGGAGCTTCAGCCTGTTATTTTAAATCTAATCATGGCGGCTAGGCTGGTTTATGCCTGGGTGGTGCAGGCGGGAATGGAGGCATCGTGCAGTCCACTCTGGGGGTCAAATATGCTAGCTACGCCACTGCTCTGCTTCTTACCTGCCTTGAAAGTTCCTTGTTGGGGTTGCTATAAGTCCACTGTGACTTGAGAGCACTTTATACCCGTACAAGGTAGTTTTCCAGTCCCCATCTACCAGGAAAAAACTGAACATTTTTTTTAGATGATAAATACCTATTAAGAAGGGTGGGCTCTCCTGCTGCCATCTGGTATGCCTCACAGCTCCCTTACTCGTGGCACCTGTGCTCCATCTAGCACTACATTCTAGTGTTACTGGCAGTCTGCTTTAATGGTGCTCGTCTAAGGCATCCCATAGGAAGCTGCTTTATTGCTCTTGCTCATAATAACCATCATCCAAGAGCACTCCCTGCAGTCTTGTTGCCCAACATGTTGTCAATTCCAAAAGCTATATAGGAAGAAAAAGTCCTTTAGTCTTCCCTTGCCTGTCTTATTTCTGTCTTCTCACGTTGGCCTGGGTGTGTGAGTGACACCTCTCTTGTTTTGCAATGCGCTGAGGTTACAGCTTTTGAAATTCTGCATTCTGTGTAAAACATTTTGAGGGGAGGGTCACAGCGGGTTGAATCCCACAGAAATAACAGAAGGGGCTGGTGGAGAAGATCTTTCTCCACTTCCTTTCGCTGCCTGCTGCTTGTTCTCCAAATCCCCTTCCTGAATTAATCAGTTTCAGTCTTGGTACAGAAATTCCTATGATTTCAGACTTATGTGTCCGAGGGAGCTTCAGCCTGTTATTTTAAATCTAATCATGGCAGCTAGACTGGTTTATGCCTGGGTGGTGCAGGTGGGAATGGAGGCATCGTACAGTTCAATAAAAGAAAAAATTGCCGTATAGAAGAGGGGGGAGTTAAAAAATTATCCACTCTGGGGGTCAATATGCTAGCTACACCACTGCTCTGCTTCTTACCTGCCTTGAAAGTTCTTTGTTGGGGTTGCCATAAGTCCACTGTGACTGGAGAGCACTTTATACCCATACAAGGTAGTTTTCTGGTCCCCGTCTACCAGGAAAAAACTGAACTTTTTTTTTTAGATGATAAATACCTATTAAGAAGAAGGACACAAATACCTTTCTCTCAAATCAGACCAGATTCTGGTCAATAGTTTGCTATAACTTAGGTTCCTCTGATTATGAAGATTAGTCCTATGACTATATTGTACAAAATGTATAAATAAGTGCCGCTCGATTACCCATGTTGAAGTGAAGGCTGCTTTGCGTGTCACCTTTTCCCACACTGAGACTACATTTGTGTCAAAAAATGTAACCTGTTAAAAATGTCTTAGATTTGGAATCTAGAAACTCACAACACAGTGCATGAAAAAGCCCGGCTTGCTTGTTTGATTTGTAATGCATTCACACATTATATGTTTGAAGGTGTTTAAACATTGAACTTATAGGAATAACTGTGTGATTAGAAGTTTTGTTCTTTTGATGCTTTGTTTGTAGAACATAAACTTCTAGTGCTCGTGTTCTGTTTGCCTGTTATTTTCAGAGCTGTGGCTTTGCTCATAGTTTGCTTTATTTTCCAGGTTGTGCATACACACAAGCCACAGTTCATGGCACTACACTGTCAAGAGTTTGGTGGGAAAAACTACGAAGCATCCATGTCTCATGTGGACAAGTTTGTTAAGTAAGTGATAAGAAAAATTTATGGCTTTTTCATAGAAGTACAAAAGTAACTTTTAAAAAGAAATACAAGTTGTTTTTTTCTCTTCACCTCATTGATTAAGCATAGCAAATACTGGGCTTGATTCATGTATTTATTTTTTATAATGCTTTAAGGCTTCTTCGAATTCTGGCTGCCTACAGATAGGGAACAAAATCCACGTAATACCTTTTATTAGGTAGGCTGAAATAAAGGCTATGACATGGTTTTTCTTTCTTGTTCTGGATTTTTCATGGGCCAATAAGGCTGTTTATGCTGGGGGGAGGGGGATGACTACAAACAAGCCACTTCAAATGCAGCTTTCCTCATTTTGATAAGAGTGACACATATTGGCCAAGGGTTGAAGAATGTTCAGGTTTGCGAATATACTTAAGTTTTAAGCTTTGATGTACAGATCTTGAAACTTGATACATCTTAGAGTTTTGCATTTTTTCCAGTATCTGCTTGCCCCTTTCCCTTTGAATTCATGAAAGACAAAGTAATTTACACTGTAATCCTGTGCTGAATTTCTCCAATGTAAGCTCACTGAAATCAACGGACTTCAACTGGAATAGGATTGTGCTCCATATGATTGGCTGTTAGTTTTTGTGTTCCGGAGTCTGGGGAGAGAAAACAGAAGCCACCGACATCAACCCCAGTGCAAACACTTCTTGCTTTTAGGTGACTGACTAAAGATGTTTCACAGCATTTCCTGTCTTTTACAATCCATTGTGGGCGGTGCTTTTACTAGAGAGAAGGATTTGTTGAACAAACGTGGCAAGCTTCTCAAGTTCTATACTATTCCTTAGTCTCTATTTTATAGCTTAAATAAAATTTCCTTTTGAATTGCGGGCTCCTCACCTGATGTTGTCCGGATGCAATGACGACAGTAGGTGAGGGCAAGAGGGGTGTTAAGCAAGGAGAATTGTTTCTTGTTCCTCCCCTCCCCCCTGGTCACATGTTGGTACTGCAGAGGGCAAAGAGGTTTCCGTTTGAAGAATTACCCAGCAGAAGGTGTCAGTTCTCTTCTGTCACTGACTCTTGATCCTAGCTAATGAGTAAGGAAGACGGGTCAGATGGTGCAAGCGTTAGCATCTTTAGAGTATGTGCTTAGAATCAGGCAACAATTTAAAGCAGCAGGCTAACTGTTGGAAAAGGCAATGTCTGGTGTACAGAGAAGAAGAGAAGACCCTGCAGGGGGCAGCAAGAAGACAATTAGCATAGTGAGGTCAGCACCTTCTCTCCTTTTAAGTGCCATGCCTTGTCTGTCTCCAGATTGCTACTCTCAGGGTAATGTCCCCCTTCTTGGAAGTTCCATACCCAATCTTAGCCTGCCTCTTAGCTAGAAATGTAGTTAGGAGCCTATCTCTGCCTCTCCTCTTTTCTATCAAGTATGTTAATTCCTAAATAAACCTTTATCTGCTCTTTAATCAGGTTGTGCACCGTTGCTGTGTTAATTACTCTGCCAACACTCACAAAATACCGACTTATAAGCATTTGGTTATTGTTGGATTTCTATCTTTCATATGAATTTCAGCTAATAATAATAACAGTTCTTGTGGCAGAAGAATGATTAATGCTATCACTTAACAGAACATATTGAAATCTTGGATTTCTGGGGCATGTATGTATAACTGCTTTGTTGCCTAGTACTGATGTTAGAAATATAGTCTTTTAGTTGGAACTCTTGTCTAATTTATGCTTACCATGGTTTAAACTTACCTTACTCTGTACATCAACCCAACTGGTCCCATCTCCATTCCCCTTCTAACTCCATGGAAACCAGTGGGTTTAGAAGGGGGTGCATCTCAAGAATCAGGAAGCGGAAGAATTTTTTGCAGACTGGATAGATCTTAAAGAATATCTGGAGAAATATTGGGATGTGAAGAATAATCTATTTTGCTTTGATAACTATTAGAGATAGAAGGATATTTAGAGTTAGTTCAAATGTGTAAGAATAATAGCTTAAAGAAATGTTACCGTATAAGTTTAATTATTGATGTGGGGAGAAGAGAGAAGAAAATAGAAGATTTGGAAGGGAGGTGGGAGCACTGCGGGAAGCCGGAAGGGGGGAGAGATGGGGAGAAAAGGATATAAGATGGATGCTAAAATGTTATATTGGTTGACTTGATGTTATATCCAAATAAAATTGTTTTTAAAAAAGAAGAAGAAGGGGGTACATCTCTTTAGGATTTCACTGTTAGAGAGTAATCCCAAGGTTAACCAGTCCAGTGTGTTACTTATGCTGGAGTGATTCCAGCTTACTTGGTCAGTATATTTACTCTGCCAGCAGAGAAAAGAGCCAACCCCAAGGAACCGAGAGGTGGGTCACTCATGCTGATAGGCTGCTCCAGGCTCCATTAAGTTTGCCCAGCATTCCCCTGGGTATTTCTTCACTGTATTAATGGGGTTACTTGTGGCTACCTGCTGCAATTCATCCCAACAATCCTTGTTCTCCATATCCCCTATCTGTCATGCAATCTGTATGACTTATTGTCCTTGTGCATATTTATCCTGTGCTTTGTGAGAGAGGTGTGGAGGTGTGGAGAATCCAGGTCACTGCTTGTGCAGTGCAGTGCAGTGCAGTGCCGGAGATGATTCTGAGCAGAGCAGTGATAATATGTTGTAACAATGTTTGTTTTCATCCGTTGTTGTTTGGGCAAAAACCCCTTTCTCTAAAGTTTCAGTCACCACCATGCCAGTGTATCTCTGAGGTGTGTACCAGTGCAAAGGCTTAGTTGCCATCCCTGCACTAGCTCTGGGCTGAAATCCCAAAAGGGATGCTTTACTGTTTGCAACAAAGGGTATCAAGAAAGCTATTGTCCATTGATGCCTCTTGTGGCAACAAATAATGTTCTTATGGTGAATAAATGGCCTGCTACCACTTTCCCAGCTGGCCTTAGTGTAAAGGTATCTAGCACAGCCATTCTGATCAGTCAGGTACTCCTAAAGAACTCTCTAAGGTGTGGTCTTCTGCCTATGGGCTGGGACCCTCAGGTGAGTTGTGAGCTCCTACAAAGCCACCATTTGCTTTTTGGAAGGACATAGTGCTAGTATGCTTGCCTAGAGTGAAAGGGCACCACACCTCCTGATTTTCTTTACATGCATGCAGAGAGGAGCAGCAGGACAGCAAGGTGAAGACACTCAATGGTAAAGAAGATTCCTCCATGGCTCCACCCCTTGACTTGGTCCTTACTGTGTGACACCCCCCTGGTGTCCAGTTCGTATTTGCTGTTCCCAGTTGTCTTGGTCTGCTTGGCACGCATCTGGCCTTGACTCCAGTGAGGTCATAGGTAGTTTTCGCTCCCCCCTCTTCCTATTATATGGCTATGTTGACTGTGGGGTTATGTGACTTCCTGTCACATGCTTACAGCTCAATTCGATCCCTAGACAGGACTTACTGGCTAAGACACTTCTGCTGCACCGTTTCCCATGGCTCAGAGCTGAAGACCATCGTCCTGAGGCACTGATTCTCACCCAGAGGGTTGGGATCACGGGGAGGGATTTGGGGGAACAAGAATAAAACACTTGTGTGCCAGAGTTTGTGTTTACATGGAAGCAAACGATAAATACAGTTTTAAAAGTATGACAAAGTTCACTTTTTCTGACGTCTGTTCCCTGAGACGCCTGTACTTGATTGGCATCCACTCAGTTCAGCCCAGTGTAAAGATATTAAGTTTATTCTCTGCAGGTTCGTTGTTTCTGTTGCAACCATCAATACGAATTCCATTTTTATAAGTACAGTATTACAAAGTAATCAATCCCCCCTGCCATTTCAGACCCTCAGTTCCCCCTGCATGCTGTTCCTAACAGTCCCCTGAGACCAGGAGCAGCATTTTACGGAGTTCAGTGGGCTTCCGTAGGGGGGGGGGAAGGACTTTGTTCTGTGAACAGAAGTGGCTTCTGTGGGCAAAAAACCATGTTTAACTCCTACCCTATTTTATTATTCAAATGGATAATTTGAGCAGCAGTTGCTGAGGGCCATCCTGTGAGTTTGTGTCTGCATTAATGTTGGAGCCCACATCTGCCAGATGTGACACAGCCCACAGGCTCAGTTGAGAAGCTCTGAAAATAAGCATTGCCTCTCAAGCGGAATAAATCCACACTGAAGGCTCTGTGCTTTGTGGGGGAGAGCGCTGGAGCGAGGGTTTCCAAACCTCCAGGTATAGCCTGGAGTTCGTCTGGGATTGTCCATGGCTCTCTAGTCTGCAGAGATCCATTTCCCTGGAGGAAATGGCAGCTCTGGGGATAGCATCACGTCCCTGTTTAGACCACCTCAGAGTCTTCAGGAATTTCCCAAGCCAGAGTTGTCAACCTTACTTTGGGCTCGATTTGTATCCATAGCCCGAACATGTAAAATCTCCCCCTCAGGGCCATAAGTGTGGTACTGATAAGTTGAATGATTCAGCTGGATACTTAGTTTAACATATTGCCGCTCTTGGCGCTCACATATCTTGCTCATGCTGACTTCTCTGTATTATACCTATTCGTGAACCTGCGTGGATGTCCCTGTTGTTGAACAGCAGTGAAATAGGTTCAGCTTGGTCATCAGAGGCAATTGGGGTGTGCAGACCTTTTGTCCATTGTTTGTTTAGCTAATAAGACATTGCTTGAATTCTTTGATATATCTCTTCCCCCTCCAATTCATGCAGGGTCATTTCGTAAACTTGCATAAGAGCACATGAAAGAATTTATCTCTCCTTTTGTGTTGAAAGAGTGCCCTCTACTGGCTTCATTAGAGAAATAGTTGGTGTCTTTTTGTTGATTTACTGTATTATGAATAAGTTGGGGGGGGAGTAAAATAGGAGATACACTAATAATAGCTCATTCTGTGGTTAATCCCCCCCCCCCATTCAAGAATTTGATGCACAGTTAGAATGCCTTTGAAGTCTTCTTCAGTTTGGTGTAGTAGTTAAGTGTTTGGTGTGAGAGCCAGTTTGGTGTAGTGGTTAAGTGTGCGGACTCTAACCTGGGAGAACCGGGTTTGATTCCCCACTCCTCCACTTGCACCTGGTTGGATGACCTTGGGCAAGCTGTAGTTCTGAGAAGAGCTGTTCTTGGAAAAGAGCAGTTTCTGTCAAGAGCTCTCTCAGCCCCACCTACCTCACAGGGTGTCTGTTGCGGGGAGGGGAAGGAGTTTGTCAGCCGCTCTGAGACACCTTTGGGTAGTGAAGGGCAGGGTATAAATCCAATCTCTTCTTCTTCTTTTATTAATAAATAGGCACTTGTGTGTGTTTAATGTCCGGAGAGGATATTTACTGTGCATCCTTTTGTGTCTTTCAGAGAATTGCTATCAAGTGATGCAATGAAAGAATACAACAGAGCCCGGGTTTATCTGGATGAAAACTACAAATCACAGGAACATTTCACGGTAAAATATCATGTGCGGCTTCATACTCAGTTCATGTATGTAAAGCGTTAATTCTTCATCTTCCAGTGCGGCATGCCTGAGAGCCATCGAAGGTGGTGAGGATTACACTTTCAGTAAACCTACTACAAGCACGGATATATACATTCACAAGGGTGAAGGAAGCCACAGTGAAGGAAGCTACTTGGCAGGATCTGATATCATGGCAGCATTTTACAAGGGAAAACAATATCTGTTAAATGTGGCATGAGACCAGTGAAAGGTTAAGTGCCCACAATTTCTGTGTCTAAAGACGAGCTCTAACCCTGGTGGCTGTTGGGTAAGCTGATAGAAGCAAAAACAATGGCTGCTTTCAAACATCACAAGCAAGCCATGGTTTGTCCATGATGAGAAGGAGCCAAATTGCAGTTTAGTTCTAATCCAGGAAGTGTCTGATCTTCTATGATTCACAAATAGAGAGGAGAGGGGGAGTATATGATTTCCTGGCTTATTGTTCCAGGTGGGTAGCCATGTTGGTCTGAAGCAACAGAAAAAAGTTTGAGTCCAGTGGCACCTTTAAGATCAACAAAGTTTAAATCTGGGTATAAGTTTTTGTGTGCATGATATAATGAACAAATTATGGTTTATTTATGATACCCTAAAAGCAATCAATGTTGGATACAAGTTCAAGAAGTACTGGATTGAGATGTGACTGGCAATTGGCTCAATAATTCTAACTTACTTCAATAGGCCTTTGTTGTGCTACTATTTTTCTTTTCATGGCCTCAGTCCTCCTAGAATCATAGCGTTGGAAGGGACCTTCAGGGTCATCTAGTCCAACCCCTGCACAACGCAGGAAATTCACAAGTGCCTCCCCCACACATACCCCAGTGATCCCTGTTCCATGCCCAGAAGATGACAAAAAGGCTCCAGGATCCCTGGCCAGACTGGCCTGGAGAAAAATTGCTTCCTGACCCCAAAGTGGAGATCAGCATTTCCCTGGGTGTGTAAGAAAGGGCCACAAGAACTAAGCACTAATGCAACTCTTCCTGCCCACCGTCTCATGATCTCCCTTGATCACTATTATCCATTGTCTTTAGTTTAAGAGAATTGAATCTTGGGCACTAGCTGCCCCTTCTGAGGTGCGTAGGCAATGCTCTTAGAGGTTGGTGGTATGTGGCAGTGGTGGCTGAGCTTCTGGGGCTATGGCTGTAGCACTGTGCAGTTGTGTGGCTACTAAATAACTAGTAGAAGCAAGTGTAAGCATGGGATGATAATGTCACTTGCTAACACAACATTCTACTAGGGGTGTGCAACCCCCCCACCTTTTTTGGGGGAGGTTCCAGGTATATTGAACCCAAAAAATATTGGTATTTCCTGATATTCCTGAATCCTAATACTGATATGGTATTCAGATTCGGTAAATATTCAGGATTGCTAAATTTTTCAGCTCCATTATACACTAGGGGAACCATTGTAGTCAATGGTCCTCCTAGAGTATAATGGAGAACTGTTCTTTGAAGTAGAGTCAGCACATTTGCAGCATAGCTGCTGGTGTCTCTCTTCAGTAAATCCCACAAGTTTAAAAAAGATTGGACCAGGGGGTCCAATTCTGTGGGCCCTCAAAGTAGGTGCCCCCATCCTCTGTTGCTTTCAATGGTAGAAAAAAAGACATTTAAAGGGATTGTGGTCCCTTTAAACACCTTCTCCAAGTGGCAAATTCACCTGGAAGGCATTTGGAGGGACTGTGAGCCTTTTAAACACATTCTGGGTGAACTTGCCGTGGAGTTGCAGGCTTGGAGAAGGCATTTAAAGGGACCACAATCCTTTTAAATGCCCTTTCAGTTCAGCTATCCAGCGGCCCTGAAAATCCTGAAATGCAGCCCCATTCGGTAACCAGCTCTAAAAATACCATCTTGGTTTATGTTGAATGCACACCCCTACATTCCATTAGCCACTTAGTAGCTGTGTTCCTGCATGATGCTGCAGCAAGGGCCCTGGATGCTGGGATCCAAAAGTACCCTTGTGGAAATGGGAGGCACCTCTATTTGAACAGAGTCCCTCTTCTGATTCTTCTTTCCTTCTGAAGCTCCCACCCTTGCAACATGCTGTGCTATTGCAGAGGTTTTTCTGTCTCTCAGAAGCATCTTCTTAGAGGTGCAGGGCCTGTAGCGTAAAGCACCAGATAGGGAATACTCCATTTCTTGGGTAGAACTTCTCTTGTAGTTCAGTGAACCACACAATAATAAATTGTACAGAGTTTTCATCTGAAGAGAGTATGGCAGTATTATTACCAGTGCACATAAACACACATGAGGCTGCCACATACTGAGTCAGACCATTGGTCTGTCAAGGTCAGTAATGTCTATGCTGAAGTCAGTGCATCTCAATGGAGTCAATGCATCTCAATGGTACCACGATAGCACTGAAGTACTATAGCGGTTTAGCACTATAGCGCTCACCGTAGAACATTTTTTAAAAAGTCCAAGGAAGATTGAGCAGCGAAAAAGGGCGGGGGGAAAGTGGCATTGTAGGAAGTGCTATGGACATTTTAAACAGCATGCCACAGCAATTCAGAAAGCGTAGCCAAGGAGTTGAAAATGGGGGGGGGGGGCCATTTCCCTCAAAAATGGCTCAACCACGTTTTGCGAACTTGACACAAGCAGGTTTGTATGAACAGGTAAATAAATTCTGCTAGCAGCCAGTTACTAAAACAAGTCTGTCTGAAATAACAGAAAAAAATCCATTAGCAACTAGTTACTAAAACGGAATACAAAGGCAGTTTGAAAGGGTCTCCAGGGTCTCAAGATGGTCACCTCGAAATTAGACTACTGCAATGCTCCTTACATGGGGCTGCCCTTGTCCCAAATCTGGAACCTACAGCTTGTGCAGAATCCAGCAGCCAAGTCTCCCTTGGAGGGAGCACATTCAGCCTGCGCTGAAAGCACTGCACTGGCTACCTATAGCATACTGGGTTCACTTCAAGGTGCTGGTTCTTACCTATAAAGCCCTATATGGCCAGGGGCTTGCATACCTGAGGGACCACCTTTCCCCATATGTTCCCCAGAGAGTACTGCATTCTGGATAATAAAATCTCCTCACTCTTCCTGGCCTTAAAGACATCAGGCTAGCCACAACCAGGGCTAGAGCCTTCGCCGCAGTGGCACCGTTTTGGTGGAATGAGCTCCTGGAGGACATCAGGGCCCTGTGGGATTGATCACAATTCCATAGGGCCTGCAAGATGGAGCTCTTCCGCCAAGCGTTTGAGTAAGATGCCATATTAAAGTACTAACATCAACTGGGTTAGATAGGCCCTATCGTCCATCTTGGCTGCCTGTGCCCATACTGTGAAACAATATGCCTAGGAGCCAGACACCAGCCGTACAACTATTGCTGATTTTACTGTGACCGATTAGAGAAATCTTTGCCATCACATATTTGTAGCACCTTCGGAATGTGTTTTTATGATATTAATTGTTTTTATTTATGGCCCTGTGAGCTGCCCTGAACCTGCTTCGGTGGGGAGGGCAGGGTATAAATCAAATAAATAAATAGATAAATAGAGGTGTTCTCTCTACCTGATCCTTTGAACTGGAGGTGCCAGAGATTGAACCTGTGACCTTTCATATGTAAATCCAATGCTCTCCCACTGAGCCTTGGCCCCTACCCTAATGGGACCCTTTCAAGATTTCTTAATCTCTGTCTGCTATGGCTGTACTGTCTGATAGAAAAATAACCTTCGACGGTTTTCCACTGTTTCTCTCCTTCATTGACCTTTTTTGCTATCCAAACTGAACTTTCCTAATCTGCTTGATTTTGCAGTTGGTAGTTCCTGGAACAGTTGGGGGTGGTGGTGGTGAGAAATGGTATAGAACTGTCATCATCCATCCAGAGTGATCTTCATCCGGATGTTACAGAACGTAGATACATTTACTGCATCGGGCAAAGAAAAAATTATATGATTATTAGGGTGCGTTCAGACGGGGGCTTTACATCGGTTAGGGTGCCGGTTCCAACCGGTGTACTCACCGGCGTTCACACGACGAACATCTGCCTCCTGTCCCTAACCGGTGTAAAGCCCTTTACACCGTTGCACTCTGCCACTAGGTCCCAAGTGGTGGTAAACTGAGTGCAACGGTTGTAAATGCTGTACCCCGGCGTCTGATCGCTCTCCACCGTTGCACAGCCATTTCCGTCGGAAGCCTGAGGCTTCTGGCTTTCTCCCACCATTTATTTTTTAAACTAAGCGATATGCGCTTGGGCAAAGCTTCGCCCTGAGCATTTGTTTAAAATAAAAGAAAGAAAGCCCTTACTTCACCTATCCGGAGGAGTCCGGGACTACAGGGAGGCCAGGTTGGGCTTTAAACTTTAAAGGTAAGTCCTTACCTTTAAAGTTTCAATGTAAGGGGGGGGGTTGAGCATGCGCAAAGATCGCCATTCTGTGAATGGCTGCCTATGCGCATGCTCAAGCTGTGTTTTGTTTTTTTTTTAAAAAAAACCTCGCCGACGCCTGCAGCGTGTGACCGGGCATTCAACGATGGGAACTGCAAAATGGAGGTAAGTCTGATCGTGTTTCTGCCGGCATAAACTGCACCGGTTCCAACCAGTGCAGTTTATGCCGGCAGAAAGCCCCCTTAATGTGTTGATAGTGGGAGGTAAGTGAGGAGCCATTTTGTTAGGGCAGCGGGAAGCTATCTTGGGGGAAGTTACCAAAACCTAGAATTTTAGGGTGTTTCTGTAATTGGTTATTGGACAGTGGTGTTCTATTCCTTACAGAGCCAGTTTGGTGTAGTGGTTAAGTGCGTGGACTCTAATCTGGGAGAACCGGGTTTGATTCCCCACTCCTCCACTTGCACCTGGCTGGATGACCTTGAGCAAGCCATAACTCTGGCACAGCTGTTCTTGATAAAGAGCAGTTTCTGTCAAGAGTTCTCTCAGCCCCACCTACCTCACAGGGTGTCTGTTGTGGGGAGGGGAAGGGAAAGGAGTTTGTAAGCCACTCTGAGACACCTTCAGGTAGTGAA